TTTAGGGGGCAAAGGCATGAAATCAAGCCGGACGCCCATCAGACTCTTCAGCTGCCGTGCTGTACAGGCAGCGCATGGCTGGAAGGAACAAAGACATTAATTTCTGATGCCTCTGTGCTTCTTCGCATGATGTCGAAGGATAATATTCTGTAAGAAATCGAATCTCAGATAGTTAGAATCTGCGATACTCTAGGGAAGATTGTTTGTCTGTTCTTCTTACGAGCATCGTTGAGATACGTTTGATATGAGATATATCTATATGAGATTAGACTTAGACGATTAGAATAGAAAGGTATCAAGATAGAAAGTATTACACCATTTCATAGAATGATGAGTACTACAGATATGATATAGATTGGAATTTATCAAGTTCAGGAAATTTTCACTATATACATAATACACGTTTTTCAACTAACTCTCTGTATAAATATTCTTTCATAATCGATATATTGGAAACATTGATTTGAGAGGTTCAATATTAGATCTTACATATCGATAATAACGGGAAAATCATCAATTCTATAGTGAAAATTAAAGGACCGGATAACCCTGCATGAGTATGTCTGTTAATGGTGATGAAGAGGTGGATGAGGACTCTAGAGCCTTCCAGAGGAGTGGGCGCGATGTTGTGTGTGCAGTGCGCGTGTTGTGTGTTGTGTTGTGCATGGTGTTGCTCTACAGTCTTCCCCCCGTGGCGTTTAGAGTCTTCCAGGGGGGCGGGTCCCAAACGCGCGCAGCATCCCTCAGAGCCCTCTAGAGTCCTCCCCGAGTGGCGTGTAGAGTGTTCCAAGGGGGCGGGTTGTGTGTTATGTGTTGTGTGTTTTGTGTGTGTGTGTGTTGTGTGTTGTGTGTTGTGTGTTGTGTGTTGTGTGTGTCTGTGTGTGTCTGTGTGTGTTGTGTGTGTGTGTGTTGTGTGTATGTGTGTTTGTGTGTTGCGTGCGTTGTGTGTGTTGTCTGTGTTGTCTGTGTTGTGTGTGTTGTGTGCGTGTGTCGTTTGTGTTGTCTGTGTTGTCTGTGTTGTGTGTGTGCGTTGTGTGTATGTGTTGTGTGTCGGTTGTGCGTTTGCTGTGTGTGTTGTCTGTGTCGTCTTTGTTGTCTGTGTTGTGTATGTTGCGTGTATAGTGCGTGATTAGTGTGTGTATCGTGCGTGTTGTGTATAAATCTGGGTATATTTTTGACGTTGGGGGAGGGTATGGGTTCCCGGAGCTATATCATGATTTTTTATAAGATTTAAAAAAAATATTTCATATTATATGCTAAATTTCATATAATTTTATAGATATATATTAATATTGAGAAATTTTCAAAATTGGGATATAAAAAAATGTTTTATCTATTGAGAAACTCTCTAGATTCTTCTTTTATTTGAAATATATTGAATTCTCTCTATTTCTCTCTCTCTCTAATATTTTTTCTTCTCTCTTGATTTCTTTGATTCGTTCTCTCTCTCTCTCTCTAATATCGAGGATTTAATAGTTGCAATTTTTCATTTTTCTAATAATTATAAAAATTATGAGATTTCTTTTATCTGATTATCGGATTCACCGAAGGAAGGATACTTCTCATAAATAATAGATATCGAATTTGCGCAAATCTAAAATTCATATTGGAGCTATATGAAAATCGTCGATATTATCGAAATATATTCTTTTTTCTACAGAATTTTATATTTATCATTTTTGATTCTCAGAATCGTTGAAATTGTGAGAATCTCCGATATCTATTCGTAATTTTATATAAGTATCATATTTTTTTTGAATATAGAAAATCAAATCTTAATTTTCTATTGCCGAAATTCATGATAAATCAACGGAAATTATTGGATAATTTTCTAATTTCTATTAGTTATATTAGATTTTTTTTCATTTCTGATTATCAATTATCAGAATCTCTGAAATGATCAGAATCCCGAGATCTCCCCGCGACGTATATGATATGATTTTTTTATAAAATATCGAATTTATTGGATGCTTATTTTTCTATTAGCTATCTTATCTAGGTCGTATTTCCGACTATTGAAGCGAGGAATTCCTTCGCGATCTTCTTGTGATTATCCGTGGCCTACTATCCGCGACCTAATATAAATAGAATATTCGATAAATAGAATTTGATAATAGAGAATCGAATTTTCAATTTATTTTCGTCATATCGAAATAAATCTATGAATATCGTCGTTTTTACCGATAGATATTTTTTTCTAGTAATTTCTAGCCATGAGAGTCGAGAGCCATTCAAATAAAGAAAATCCCGAGTTCTAATCGCGGCCTAATTTGAATATAATATTTTATAATAAGAATTCGATAGTAGATCTTCAAATCCTAATTTTCCATGAAAGACGTCGAAATTAATAGAAATCTCCTATAAATTCTCCTTATAAATCTCGATTTTCTCATATTTCTTATTATCAAAATTATAGAAATTATATTCTTAGATGAATATATATATGTCCGAATATCAATATCTCGTATATTTTGAATTTTATAATATATCCTATATTCGAAATTCCATTCATATCAATATATCCGATATTTCAGGAAAAATTGAGAAGAATGAAATATTATTAATAATGATCGATATTATATATATATATGAAGAATGAGAAAAGGAATTTTTCTTCTATATCATATGATTGTATTTATCTCATATTAGAATAGCTTTCAAATCAATAAAATCGATTTTCTTAAATTATACGAGGAACCCTATTTGGGATCCTTATAATAAAGATCTTATTTAAGGAAATGAATTATAATTATCGATTTTTGGAAATTTCCATATAATATTAGAAGAAATAATATTCAATATATTCGTATCTTGAAGAATTTTCATAATTCATTCAAAATTCCCTGATATAAAGATATATATGTATATATATATATATATCTCATATAAGACCCATTATATAGATAAGATAAATATATAGACCCTCAGAGATATACAGATATATATATTCATAACAACACACACACGTACCCTCAACACACCGCTCATAGACTCTAGAAGATGCAGCACGGATTTCAGAACCCCCCCTCTTCTAGAAAATTAAATAAACTATTAAGATTCTTGAAGACTCTACGAAATATTATTCGCATTTAGATATTAGAAAATTCTGAGAGACACAATACGAAATAACTCCTAGAAAATTACGATTCCAGAAGCCATTGCGAAATATTAGATATAATATTGACTTAAAATTAATAATCTCCCTATGATTAAAGGCGGCCTGCGGACGGCTCCGGCCCCAATCTGTACTTTTTTAAAAGCAGCACCCAAATAAGGATCGTTTTTTGCAGAAAACCCCTCACGATTAAAGATAATACCGTCTGGAGATCTAAAATTTCTAAAGTGCTTCGAAGACTACTTTTAAAGGGGGCAAGACTCTATTTAAAGGGCGTCTTATCTTCTTTCAAGCGGTTCTTTCAAGGGATAGCTTTCAAGGTTCAGGATAGGGGCCTTGAGACCTACTGCTACTGCTACTACTACTGCTACCACGACCACAACGACTAGCACCACTAATTACTACAATTTGGCTTCACGGGATTATTTGGAGGTCTCTGATCCTATGGGGGGCCTGCGACCTTGACAACCCGGGGGGGGGGGGGGGGGTTATTTAATCAGAGGTCAACATCATTTAAGATCTTTTCTAGATTGAAATACTAATATTCTCGCAAGTTATATAGAATACTATACGCATAACGTACGCTTAAAACTCCCGCCCCCCAGGAATTTCTAAACAATATTAAGCGACCGCACAAATATATTCATCTTCATACACGATATATCATATCTAATTTTCTTATATCGTACAAATATACGCACTCCAGATTTAGATACTCGCACACGCACATACAGCATACAATATACAACACATAATATATAGCACCCAACCCGCAACACACAATATATAGCTCCCATAAGCACAACACACGCAATATATACAACCCACAAAACACACAACCCAAACAACGCACATACAACATACACACAACACAGACACACACACACACACTTACTTGCAGCGTGCAACACACAACATATAAGATACAACAAAAATAGGCAATACGCGCACTACAAACACAAGACCGCGCACACTCCTCTAGAAGGCTATAGAGGACTCACTCGTGAGACTACTATGGAGTTATCCGATCCTTTAATTTTTGAGAATTTAATTATTCATTTTTTGAAAAAGCTCAAGTTTCACTTCTAATTCCCTACGAGAATATATTTTCAAATTAAATATCTAATATATTTTTAATATCAATCTCATATCTTTAATATCTATAGTTTCAATTTTCTCCTGATGAAACAGATATTCATTTTAAATATGAAAAATATATATATATATCGTTTTTGCAAACAGATTAATTTCAACTCGATCTTAATTCGAGGTTTTTATTTATCGGTATAAATAGCCTTCCATAATCTCTATCTATGGAATATCTTTTGAGAATTTCTCCATATAATATAAGATAAATAAATATTTATCAAAAAAGATATAGCTGTCAATTTATTTTCCATCAATAATAGTATCTATTAATCGATAATTTTCGCGATAATTATCATCCTAGAATGTTGTTATTTGGTATGCAACTCAGAAAGATTATGCCCCAGCAATACTGATTTTGGCGCAACAAGGCAACAGCACGATTCAGGTAGTATGCTTCGATGAACGTTGCCCGCTCTCGACGCCCGCAAGTCGTTTCCCTCCGCATCCCAACTGCGCTCAAATGTTGTGTTGCAGGCCACCCGGCAAGTGCACAGGACTGCGGGACCTCGCTTTGGCGAGGCCGACGCAGTCGGCGGCCAGCGGAACGCGTAAGATGGCCTTAAGCAAAGCATCCTCACACACATAGAGGAGCCGCACTAGTTTGCAAATGGTCTGGGGGTATAAACCGTTATAATAACAACATGGAAGGACTATAAGCATGTGAAGGGTGCCCGCCGTGACTGGCATTCTCACCTTTTGAATTCGTGCAGTCCTTCCCGTTTCGGTCACCTGGATCTCAGGGTGAAACTGGTGCACCAACCACGATCCCAGTTTTCGAGGAATCACGACGGGGCACAGCGCACGTGACCACCAACAGCAAACAGCAGTAGAGAGTGACTAGACATACTGACAGGCTCAGCTTCATCAGTGCATACCAGCTTGCTCCGAAATAGCTGAGGTCTATAGAACACATCACGATGCCGGGAACATCCTGCGCAAGTCGCAAGAACTCGCAGTAGCCGTTCCTGAAGTCTCAGGCCAAGCTGAAAAAGCGAGAACGGCCCCTGCTATAGGAAGATGTCGACCATTCCCTGGCCCCGGAACCATACATACATATATATATATATATATATGTATGTATGTATATAGATACATATGATCGTATATGGTCACGCACTCCGCGGCCCCACCCTCCCCCGTCCCGCCCCCCAAAAGGTCAGTGGTCTGGATATAGGTGGTGCCCCCCTCCCCTGTGGTGTGGGGTGTGGGGTCTCTCTTCCCCCCGTGGGGTGGTTGTGGGGTTTTGGGGTTTGGGGGTTTAGCTTGCTCTTGAGTTTGGGGCTTACTGTTGAAAGGTATCAGGCTTCGATCGACAAGGCTAGGTTCGTTAGGGTTGACGGTTCATACTCTGCTTTAGGCTTAGAGCTTGCATTTAGGCAGGGGTTAGGGACGGTTAGGGTTGGGTTTAGGGTTTAAAGTACAGGTTCAGGTTAATAAACAGGAGCATGCGCTGTCTTATGGGGTTTATGGCTTGCGTAGGGCTTGAATGTGACCCCTCGCCGCCCCAGCACCTACCCCATCATCTAGCAGCATCATGTATACATATATCTACATCCATGGATCTAGAAATACTACTTTTGCATGGATATGTACATATATATATATATATAACCTTATATACATCTGTATACCTATATGTGTACGTATTTACACATACACATTTACACATGTATACATATATGAACATGGAAACAATTACATATGAAAGTACGTACATATCTACTATACACATATACAATGGGGCGATTATGTTCCTAAACTCGGGCTGCCACTCGCTTCCATTGTTGTACTCGGAAACCGCTCTGTTGTGAAGCCCAGGTGCGCTTGACGGAACTTGATGACCTCCTCCAGGCCGTTGTGCTGAGCCCTGCAAGCGACCTTAGATGTGCTGCTGGGTACGGTTCTTCCAGATGGGGAGATGCAGCGCGGAGGGGAGGGCTGGGCGAAGTAACGTAGGCTCCTTATTCGTTCGACTGAGGTTTTGGGGGTATGCTAGTATATTCATATCAGGGCCGTACGGGGATACTAGTTACGGCGACACCGATAGTAAAAGCTAGCGGTTCCGAGTTCTGATGTTACTGCAAGTTGGGCTCCATGAGGTGCACAGCGTGCTTTCTGAAGGTATGGGTGTCAGCACTGTGGGTATAAGTCTGAGGGTTAGGATGGAGAGAGGATGTAAGGGCGGCTACATGCCCTCCATTCACAAGCACGACACGAAACACCAGATGCAGCCTACGAAGCCGAAACCGTAAAAATAACAACAACAAAAACAGACCTGTATCCCCAAACCCTACAAAATAGTAGGTTATGATCCCTTGGTTAGAGGGCCTAACCCTTAAAACGGTAGGTTTTTGCATCCACAGGGAGGGACCGCTGGCCACTTCCAGTGCTTCGGCTTAGGCACGACGTGGCCCAGGCCGGGCGCATCGAGGCCAGCGGAGATTCCCCATGGTACTGACCTGGTCTTGGGTTTACCTACTTAAAGGATCATGGGACTTACTAACTGGGCTTATAAGTAAGGTAGCTACAGTTATAATTACATATGACCTTAATTAAGGTACTTATAACCCTACTTACTAAGTCCCATGATCCTCCAAGTAACCCCTACCTTAACCCGGAATAACCTACCTTTGTAAGGACTTATATAAGGAAATCGTACTAAGGACCCTAAGAAGGTAGGTTATTCAGGGTTAAGGTAAACCCTCAAACGACCATCTTTAGCATTGTCCGTTGCTGCGTTCACGAGAGAAATGGCACACTTTCAGTTTTTCAAGGGATCGTATTGTACCCAAACGTGCAAAGTGTACCCATTCGGCTTAGTACGTATTGATCCTGCTGCGACATGGGGGGAGTGATTTTGAAGGTGTCTAAACGCTCGAAGTGTTACTAGGCGGCTCTTCGTGCTAGTCCGTCTCAACGGTATTTGCGGGGAACGGCCTTGAGCGCCTTCCTTCAACACAAAAACTGGGTCAAAACCTTTCGATCAGCGCAGCCCCCGGCCCCAATTTCAGTGCACGACCCAGCGCCAAGTCACCGGCCAGCCCCTAACAGCGAGTTTAGCCAGTTTCTTTGAAGGAAAAACTCGGTCGCATGCATCGTTTTGAATCCGAGAGTTTTTGTGCTGCTTTATCGCAGGAGAAAGGCCCGTCAGCAGCATGTTTGTATAAGTTTCCGAGTGAAGACTCTGTCGCGGTCAAGTGGAGCTAATTTCTGAACACGGTGTCGGCGCACGGCTCTTCCTGCCCCCTTTCTGCTTGATGCGTTGTCAATACTGCTGCGGTTCAACGACGCTGCTGCAAATCACAAGACCAGCAGCAATTGCACGAAACAACCAGGCCGAATCTGTGCGAGGCGACAAAATGAGAGGCGACACAGGTGTTGTGCATTGGTGAAAGCTGAAGACTGCCACCCAGTCAAAACGATTCGATGAAGCCCACCCGAAACCCATCTTGATCCCTAAACCCCTAAACCCTAAACCCATCTTGATCCTATGCCCTAAACCCCTAAACCCTAAACCCTGAAAGAACAACTCGGCCACGACTTCCGGCGACACTTTCGGCCGCCAACACCCTATGCCGTTTCTGATTCTATGAACCACAAAGCCTCCTTACCTGTGCCCCGAAAAGCCGGCATGTTCCGGGCTCCTTATAAGGGTTCTTTTAAGGGTCCCTTTAAAGGGATCTACAGGGATTCTATAAGTGTTCCTTTAAGGGTCCCTTTAAAGGGATCTATGGGGAGAAGGCTCCTTACCCAGAGACTCAAATACCCCTTAATTAAGGAATATACCTTAAACCATAATATTAAGGCCCCTAAAATTTAAGGTATATTCCTTAATTAAGGGGTATTGGAGGCTCTGGGTACTATGTATGAAGGCCTTTCGGTCCTTATAAACCATGAGTATGATGAATCGGATCAAAACCGCCGATATCACTGCGATTAGGTTAGAAGAGATTGAGCGATCACCCTAAACGCCTAAACCCCTGAGACGTAAACCCCTAAACCCTAAACTAAAACCCCCCAACCCCTAAACCCTAAACCTTCAACCCTAAACCCCCTAAACCCTAAACTGGCGCATGGAAAGTCCTTCGACCTGGAGCCTGCATAAAGGCTTCGAGTTGAGGTTTTGCCAGAACTCTGCGGTTGAGGGTTTAGGCTTAATTAGGGTTTACCTTAACCCTGAAGAACCTACCTTTGGGGGGGTTCCTGATTAAGATTTCCTTATATATGTAAGTCTTTAAAATGGTAGGTTATTCCGGGTTACGGTAGGGTCATAGTCATAGTTCTTTCGGGTTTAGACTTCAAGGCTGTTGGGATTACTTAGAGTTCAGGGTTAGGCGCTTCCGTTTAGGGATAAAATCAAGGGTCTATAAAGGCATGCTTGGGCTTACCCATGCACTGAGCCAAAAGCTTCACAGCAGGTCCCAAACGGACGTCGAGCTGCTTGGACCAGCCCACCAAGCAAAGGCAGCCTGAGGAGCGAGATCTACAAAGATGGGAGCAGCATAGAGGCCCGAAGAATTGCTACAAGTCATTCCCTTGTTGTCGCCTGTGCACAAATACCAAAAACAACAAGTATTCGAATCATTTGAGCCCCTCTGCTTATAAACCCCTTATAGATAAATCCCTTAAGAAGTCTAAGGAAACCCTATAAACCCTAAATGGTGTGCTTAGGTTTACTGGGTCTTGCAGACTTTCGTCCTGGTTGCTTGTGGGGACAGCACCAATTGTATCCAGGCGTAAAGTGGAGGGTGTGGGGTTTGGGGCTTGTTATGCCTCTAAATCCGACACTTAACGCTTCCATTTGCTGGATCCCGGGAGCACGAGCCTACTCATTCGAGGTAGCGTGCTTCTGGCTTGCCGAGGAGGGGAGTGGGGCGGGCGGGGGAGGGGGAAGGGCTCACGTGTGGAAGCGCCCTCGTCATACTCTAAAACCTCCCGTGCTGGCAAACCCCGAGACTCTTCGTTACTCTTGGAAAGCCGGAGCCCAAGGACTCGAATCTTGAAAAGCTTCAAGCTGCAACGGGGCCCTGGACAGATGCAATACTGGGGCTGTCACCAACAGACAGTCTTTTGCTGGATTCTAAAGAAGGCCTCCTAGCAGTTGTACAGGGATTTGCGTTTTCTTTGTGGGTTTGTGCATGTTTCAAGCACGAGGCATACGCACAACCTCTAGCAACCGTGTAGCGCAGGGTCCTATTGCCGTGCATTTATGTATTCATTAAGATTTTTCATTATGCGTGCATGAGAACGTGTATAATAGACATGTGACTATGTTCTACATGTTAATATATGCATATACACACACCCAACTGTATCTATACCTACCTACATACACAGATACACGCATGCATACATACATGCACACATACATATCTGCATGCAAACATACATATATACATGTGTATACATATCTATTAACAGAACTAGATAAATACGGCCATATGAATGTATGTATGTATGCATGTAGGTATGTATGTATGTATGTATGTATGCATGTATGTATGTATGTATGTATGTGAGATAGACAGGTATGCACACACACACACATATATATATATATATATATATATTTATACACATATATACATATATATATATATATATATACATATATACATATGTACATATATGTGTATATACATATACATGTGAATGTAATTGCGAACAAACAGATAAACTAACAAGTAAACAACCAAATAACCAGGCTAACAACCGAATAACTATAGAAACCGATGGATGAACACCACTACATACATGCGTGCTTTCTTACACTGCAGTACATTACACTACATGCATTACATACATTACATTGCAAACACACATAGATACATACACACATACATGCTACATACATACATACATACATACATACACACATACATACATACATACATACATACACACATACAGACACACACACACACACCATCCATATATATATATATGCAAACATACATACATACATACATACATACATACATACAAACAAACTTACATACATACATACATACATCTACATTCACATACATACACATACATACCCACACAAACACACACACACAGGCACACACACACACACACACACACAGACACACACACACACACACACACAAAAGAAAAGACACAAACACGCAGACACAAACACAGACAGAGACACGAGAACAGCTCGCAGCTCCAAGCCCGCGCACCTCCGTGTGCGGCGCCCTAAACCCTATAGAACCCTTATAGTGCCCTTATGGACCCCTTAAACGGACTCTTAGCCCTAAACCCTAAACCGTTTATAGATGGACCCCTTAAAAGGACCCCTCAGGAAGGCCCTGCCACCCAGCAGCAGGATCCCAGCAGCAGCCAAATGCCAAATCCGCTCGCCATGGCACCGAGGCTCGTCGGGCTCCTTAAAGGGAACTATTGGGATCCTTTCAGGGCCTTAAAGGCTTAAAAATGGGGATCTGTAGGGGTTCCTTTAAAGGGATCCTTAAAGGGATCTATAGGGTTCCTTTATTGGGTTACGCAGGGCTTTTGGGGTCCTATAAGGGTGCTCTCCTTTTAAGGGTTCCATAAAGGGTACTATAAGGGTACTATACGGTTTAGGGTTCAGGGTTTGGGGTTTAGGATGTAGGGGTTTACGGTAGTTCCTTAGGGTTTAAAGGGAACCCCAGAAAGTTGGAATATGGATTAATGGTAGGATCCCCTATAATTTACCTTAAAGGGGCTAGGATAATGATATTCCAACTTTCTGGCTTCTACTGTAAATGGAGGGTCCTTAAAGGGCCCTTTACAGGGATCTATAGGGGTTCCTTAAAGGGATCTCTGGGGTTTAGGGTTTAGGCGTGGCTTTTGGGGTCCTATAAGGCTCCTTTCATAAAGGTACTATGCGGTTCAGGGTTTAGGGTTAAGGGTCCTTTGAAGGGGTCCTTTAAGGGTTCCATAGGGGGACTATAAGGGTACTATACGGTTTAGGGTTTAGGGAAAAGGGTCCTGTTAAGGAGGCGCGGTTTTCTGACTATAACTAACTGCTGGAATATATTATAATATACTATAATATACTGTGATATACTATAATGTACGATAATATACTATAATGTACTGTAATATACGATAATATACTATAATGTAATATAACGTGAATACACATCTTGGAGGGGCGGGGGGGACTGAGTAAGGGTTCTTAAAGACCTCCTTAAAGTAAGTAGATTAGAAGTAGCGTTAACCCCAATTATAACCCCACTTACTAAGTCTCCTGCCCCTCCAAGTAGGGTTTAGGGGTTTTGGGATTAGGGGTTTAGGGTTTAGGGGTTTAGGGTGTAGGGGTTTGGGGCTATAGGGCTTTAGGGTTTAGGGGTTTACGTGTTTAGGGGTATTTAGGGTTTAGGGCTATCAGGTTTTAGGGTTCATGGGTTCAGGGCTTTTGGGCTTTAGGGTTTAGGGTTTGAGGTTTGTGTTGAGGGTTTTGGTGCCA